CTATCATTAACCACCAAGATAATGACTTTCCTGGAAGAGAAGACAATGTTTAACCAGTTGTCAGCGGGTGCAGGAAAATTCAAAACCTGGTATCATTATTTAAAACAGAAATTTCACAGACTTTCAATTGTGTGATGTACTTCTCACAACAGAGAGCCCCAAAGAAGACTTAAAGGAAGCAAGGTCACAATTCACAGATGAAAAATCCCTTCTACACATTTATAAACTCAGAAGAGGAGTTGATTTGATGACAAAGAAATAGCTACTGAAAAACAGCCACCTGCTGTCAACATGTTTTTGGTGCTTTCTTGAGAAAAACAGACAATTTTTGCCTGAACTGGTGAATGCTAACCTGCCACCTAGACCTCATTTCTTTGAATAGTCAGCTTTGTGGCTGATTTGCTTTTCACCCTCTCATTGATAGAGTTGGAGGTGAGTAGAGGTAAATTGAGGCAGTATTCAGGGCACAGGACAGGCACACTGAAGTAGTAACGAAGATTTCCTTCCAAGAAAAACCTGAGAAAAGAGAGAATTCTTTCCAAAATCCCTGCCCAATTGTTCTATATTCCAGAAGCTATTCATTTTCTCGGCTCCCACCACAGGAAAATGTTTGGTCTCAAGGGAAACAAGCTAATTAAGCAGTTGCTTAAGGGTGAAACCAAAATAAGTTAGGAAATTTTAATGGAGCCACTAACTGTTCCTCCTGAAATCTAATGAGGAGGACATTCCAATGGAAATCTGGCAGATAGATACCTGGAACCTATGACACAGCTTCTGTTATCCGCAGGCTGAGGCCAGGGGAGGGGCTGCCCTTTGATACTGCTGTGGGGGACAGAAGACAGAAATTAGTTTAAGCTGCAGAGGGCACCGTAGCTAAGCTGCAGGCACTGCCACTATTGGATTCCAGTAATTCAAACCATTGTCTGCCATCTCCAAAATGTAACAGGGCTCCCACAGTAGAGGGCTCTGGTCCACTTTTGTTTGATGGAACATTCTCAATCTGGACCTCATCCTCTTTACTGATGCCCTGAAACCCAGGCCCGCCGGCTCTGCAGGGGTCAGGGCCGCACGGTAGGCTATGTTCAGAATGCGGTGTAATAAAGAGCAGTGCAACTTTCTAAAATGTTCCAATGAAAAGGAAAAGAAAATTAAAAATTTAAGCCTCTTAAAATGTAAATGGTGCCAGCGTGCCTTGCAATTTGAACACTCTTACCCATTAAAAAAAATAAAAGCAATCCAGAAAGGTTATGAGATGAAGTACAAAGACTACTAAGAGTACTTAGAAGAATTTAGGGGAGATGGTGATTCTGCACCCCTCTGGCATGCTCATCCCATACCAGGAGGACCCTGGGCCTCGCTGTCCTCATCGGCCTTAATGTCAACCATCCCAAGGCACTCATAAAGCTGCTCTACATAAAAATCACGCTGACGACCCTGAAGTCTCTTGAGGCAAGAAGTGCTTCTGTAAATGCCTGATGGGATTCGTTTCATCAAGTAGCTCTCTACCCAAAATGGAGGGAAGAGAGGGTCACTTTTGCCAGACTGATGTTTCAGGACACTGCCACCTGCCTCCCCTCCCAGGCAGACAGCAATTTCTCTCACATTAGCTCTAACTAGGTCATTTTCCATGGAAGGTCGCCACAGTCCTTGCCAGCCTCCATGCAGTTGTCTTTCCAGCTGTCTTGTTCCCACGTGGTGCAACACTCTCATCTCACACCCAGAAGGTGGCTACCCCGGCCAGGGCGCCCCCAGAAACCACCCAAGGTGGAACCCAGTCAGAATCAAATGCTCCCGCAGCTCCGTGTCGCTGAATAGAACATCCTCTAGTGCCACTGTCATGGCCTGGGTGTGTGTCTGTTCCTGGGCTCTGCTGCTTGAGACCTTGTCCTCTTGAATTTTGCCTCCCCAGAATGACCAACCCTGTGCTGGCATTTAGTAGGCACTTGATCTGATGTTCTCCTAATTGGACATAATTGCCTGTTTTTTGTGCTTGGTTTTTTGGGTTTTTTTTACACAACTCTTTTCGGTTCTAGACATAACAGCTAAACACAGTATTTTTTCTACTTCACATTTAGAAAACTGGAAGTTTGCCACAGAGATGAGCAGAAATTTCCACAAGTGTATTTCTCTTCCTAGACATTAGGGGAATGGTGTTTCCTGACAAATACAATTCTCCTATGTGATGAAAGAATCACACACTGGGGCAGGACTGTCAGGTGTGGGGGACTCACAACATTTATTGTTGTGACTTTAGACAAATCAAGAGGACCTCTGACTCAGGTGGATTCACCGGCTCACAGCTCACGGGGTTAACATCTGTGCAAAAGAACAAGGTAGCTATTTTGTGGCTTAGCTTTCCACATTCATTCAATATTTAAAAGATCTCAAAAATTCTTACGCCTTTAAAAATACTACTTTGTTGATGAAAACCTTAGGTGAAAATGAAATTGTAGACTATGTGGCAACTGTTCTCTTGTTTGTGAGTGGATTATGGTTAACTTTTATTTTCTGACTTATTGGATACTTTTTCTGCTTGAAAACACTAAAAACTGAAATTTTCCAGAACATAATATATCCTAGATGCTATTTTTTAAGTGTTTTGCATGAATCGACTCTATGAACTGGGTTTCTTTATTAACCCCACTTTACAAGTGAGGATACTGAGGCACAAAGAGATGGGAACTTGTCCTATGACCCACAGTGGTAAATGGCAGAGTTGTGGCCTGACTCTATAGTCTGGTTCCAGAATCCAAATTCTTATTTATATTGCCCAAATGTCTGCATTCACCATTGAGAATATGAAGAATTACTGAGTTTTCATGATTTAAATGTAGTGCCCACACCATGTGACCTTGGCTGAGTCATTCAATTCCTTGGTGCCATACAGAACCCAACCTGGTCCCCAAATAGGTCTGGCCTTGGTCCTGGGCTTCTAGGAGGCAGCTCCACAAGGTGTGTTTTGTTTAGAGTGAGAGCTGGCCATGCCAGAAAGACCAGCAATGTCATTTAGGGGCTTCAGGCCACACTCAAGCCACACTTAGAGGGTCAACAGATCTACCACGTGGCAACATGTCATGGAGCCTCCACAAAACTCTAACCATCCAGAGTTGGGTGAGCTTTCCATGGGTATTTTCATTCATCAGTGCCAGGAAATTGCTGTGTCCCAGTTTGTGGGAAGAGATCAACAGACATTTTGCTTTTGGAACCCATGAACTCTCGGGGTCTCCTGTGATTGTTGTAGCTTATCTGTATCCTTTCAACTGTAATAAACTGAACCCATGTGGCTTCTAACAAACTACCGAATCTGCAATCTCTGAACTTGCAGTTGGTATCACAAGGGCAAGGTGGTCTCACATGGAGACTATCTCTTCTGAATTTGTGATTAGCCCTAACTTCTCATAGTTTCTCATTTTTCCCATGTGTAAAATGATAAATTTAGAAAGAAGGATTGCTGAAGTTTCCCCATGGAGTCTAACAGTATTATTCTGTGAAGGAAATTCGCAGCTTAGCAAGACTTTCTCAGAGACTGGAAGTCTTAACCCAAAAAAAGTCCACGGTGGGGAAATTGGGAGAGGTGGGAATCAGGACTGAAATTTCTCCTGCATAAATCACACAGCAAGGCAGCCATTTTGTGGCTTAGCTTTCCACATTCACTCAATACCTACCAGTGTCACCTAAAGGTAACGGTGGGTCATGATGGTGGTGGAGGGGGCGTGGGGGAAGCACAGATTCCTTTAGCTCTGAGTTTGCTTCTGGATCTAACTTGTGAATTATTTAGTGGGTTCTGTTCTACTATGGGTTGTTTGATTCAATGGAGCCCAGAGCCAGTTTCTGCTTTGGCCACAGGAGTCAGAAACTTCTGAGAGGTTGGACTCCCTGCAATCAGACTTGCACTGTCTTCAAAGATCAGGCTGCAATCGAGGCTATTCTGGGAGGTTGGCAGTCCTCACGGTGTCCTCTGATTTGACTTCCATTCTATTGTTCCCAACCTTTGGAGAGACCTCTACAAAGGAGTCTCTCAGCTTAGATGCTTCACTCAAATGTTTGTGATATATTCACAAATACTTTAGGAACAGCAGAAAGAGTTCTCAGTAAAGTTGTACAGCCCTTTGTTTCCCCAAATCAACAGGTCCAGGTGGTTGGACCTCACCTGACATTGCTTTGTTGACTTGCCCAGTGGGAGGATTGGTTATGCACCCCAGTCCTTGGTGAAGACCACAGACCACATGCTCTTCACCCCACAGATTACAAGGACACCCAGTCACCTTAATTCATGACAATAGCTTCTGATTTACATACAGCTTCTGTTTTAACAGACAGTGACAATAGTAATTATCCTTACTTGTTATTCCAGGCTGTGTTCATCATAATCTCACCTGGTCCTGAGAGTGGCACAGTAAGTTAGGTGCTGTTATTTGCCCATTGTTTTTAGAGCAGAAAAGTGAGTCTTAAGGAAGTAATTTACCCTGGTCACATAGTGTGGTGGGAAAAATAATGGTTCCCTAAAGAAGTCATATATTCTAATCCCCAGAAACTGTGAACGTGTCAAAGAGACTCTGCCAATGTGATTATGGATCTTGAGATACGAGATTACCCTGGATTATTCGAGAGGTCCGATGTATTACAAAAGGGAAGCAGTAGCATCAGTGTGACAATGGAGGCAGACATCAGAGCGATTTCAAGAAGGGGTCACAAGCCAGGAATGAAGGTAGTCTCCAGAAGCTGGTAAGTCAAGGAACAGATTCTCCCCTAGAGCCTACGGGAGAAACACAACCCCACAGACACCTCAATTTTAGAAGGCCAGAGCTGTACAAGAGTACATTTTTTAAAGCCACTAAATTTGTGGTCATTTGTGATAGTAACAAGAAGAAACTAATACTTCCATCTATGAAGTGGCTATTGGGGATTTGAATGCACACAGTCTGCCTCCAAAGAGAGGCAGATCAGTTCTTGCCTCAGTATCCCCATTGTGAGTCATCAGCCTCATCAGATCTGGAATCCCTACCACTGACATTCTCAGCCGCTAGTGGCTGTGGGTCCACCTCTTTGCAGCTCTAGGTCACAGCAAACACATAGACTGGTGGAGTCCTTCGGCCAATATGGAGACAAGGAACTCAGCTTGCAAGGCTGGCCTGCTTGCTCAGGCTGGCTGAAGCTCAGTTACCTCTCTTATAAAGTAGGTTCAATGATGGTGTGGGGCTTGTGGAGGTTTGGAAAGGATTCAATGAAATAGTTCGAGTAAGTCACTGAGTGCAGTGTCTGGCACAGAAAAACACACTAAAAATCTATTATTCTCTTAAAACTTTATTGAGTGCTTAATATCACTTCTAAGCCTTTTATTAGGGAGTCTTAACTTGAGAATATCAGGTTTGCAATAGACCATCACAAGATTTCATAAATAGAGAAAGAATGATTTCCTCATTTTATGTAATGCTTTAGATCTAATTCCCACTTATTAGCTGCTATTTCCAAATAAATGAGGTCATGGGTTGAATAGAGTCCTTCCAAAATCCATGTCCACCTTAAACCTCAGAATGTGACTTCGTTGGTAAATAGGGTCTTTGCAGATATGATCAAGGCAAGGATTAAAAGATTGCCCTGGATTTGGGAAGGCCCTAAATCCAGGAAGAGTGTCCTCACAAGGGGCAGAAAAGGACATTCAGGACACATAGCAGGAGGCCATGTGGTGATGGAGGCAGAAGCTGAGGTGATGCAGCTACAAACCAAGGAACCTGGCAGCTTCCACAAGCTATGGAGAGGCAAGGAACGATTCTCCCCTAGAGCCTTCAGACTTGCTGATTTCAGACTTCTAACCTCCTCAAATGTGGCTAATTCATCTCTGTCACTTTAAACCACCCAGTTGTGGTCATGTGTTAGCAGTCCTGTGAAACTCACACCAATGGTAGTTTTTTGTGCTCCTCAAATAACCCTGCTAGCAGGAGAGACGTCCTCCATTCTCACGCCTTCTTTCCACACAGAAGTCAGATCTCATGTGAAAAACAGCCCTTCCTCATCTCTGCTTTTCAGGATTGGGACTGCAGCAAGGAAAGCAACGCCAAGTCCATCAGGGTGACGATCCAGTGTACAGAGGCCCCCACATGGTATAAGAGCAGCGTAAGTGTTTCTCTGCTTCTAAGTATCTATGTGACCTCGAGGGGTGACTTAAACCTTTGAGGTTTCCATTTCCTCAGAGTGAACTGGCTGAAGAACACACCTTTAAGGCCCCTACCATCATGGAATTATTCAGCAAAGAATTGCCCTAAGAGCAAAGAGAGACAAAAGAAGATGTGAAGAACCTTGGGACCTTGCACGCATCCTCCCCAAGGGAAAGTCCCCCACGTAAATGCTCACAACCCACGTGTTCCTGGGGCTCTGCCATAGTCCAATTTTGTGTCTGCAGTTGCCTACTTTGAAGAACTCATGGAGCATGTGAGCCCCGACGGCAGATTTTAAATGCCACACTCTCACCAACTTGGTAGATTATTGCCACATCAGCATTCGTGATGGGCTCAAAGAAATGCACCCGGAGGGTTTCACTTTCTGTCTCTGTTGAGCTACATGAACATGTCATCCTTGTTTCAGTAGCTCTGGCTGCAAATATTATCACAGAAGTTTTTCCTGGGTCAGGTGGGGCCTCTCCTGGTCTTCCTGAATGGAAATTCACTCCCCACAGCAGGCTGGGTCTTACCTACTCACCTGGCAGCACTCAGTGCAAGGTTAGAGGAGACTTGATAAGAGAGAAAATACAATCTTTCAATCTTTAGATCACTAACGCAGGATCCATGTTTCCAACAAATCTCACGGGCTATATGGAAACCAAGGAAGAGTTCATCCAAGCCACATTAAATTTCTCTCCTGCTTAGTCCAAGACCTTTAACCTACATTTATTTCTTGTATTACCACGTCATTCTTCCCCTTTCCCCCAAATCTCTCCACCCACAGCAGCCAGCGAGCTGTGAATTTTGATTTGTTTATATTCTTTTATCGCTTGACAAGTTCATGTCCATTTACACATCCTAATCAGGACAAGTGACAGTCCTGCCACCAGCTGCAGCAGTTGGAGTCACCAGCATTTCACTTTCTTGGAGACCTTGTGAAATTCTCCTACCATATTTTTCTGCTGAAGGAAAATAACCAAGAATGTGAAGGAAAGGAAGCAGGAGGGCTGATGTTGATAAATGACTCCCAGTGGATGAGAGTGAAAACCTTAGACTCTGAAAATCGTACAAAAGATGACTTTCAGGAACATGATTCAACTGCTATTACTAATTTCTTGGACATTTTAACCAACAAGTGAACACTTGGAACAGGTTAATGTCAAAGAAAAATATAAAAATAAATTATTTAACAAAATTACTTTGGGAGAAAAATTCATAGAGAGTAGAAAAGTGACAGCTGTTTCCAAGTGACACCAGGGCTGGGGCAAGGGGAAGTTTGGGGACAGAAAAGTCCCAACTACAGAAAGGGGAAGAGTGACCACCTATAGTGGTCTTCAGGTGGCACTAACTAAACAGGATGACTGTGCAAGATGGCCGCTCTGGGAAAAGCAACAGCCCCACGGATAGGAGGGGTCCCAACCACCCTCTTGGTCCCCCTCAGGTAGATTCCAGAGCTAGCAAGCTCCCTATGCTGCCCCAAACCCCACAGAGATCAGAAGAAAGTCCAGGTTGCTGGGATTCCTTTGGTTCTCAAGTCTAGGTGCCAAAGCAGGCCCATCAGCAGCCAGCAGTGCCTGGTGACTAATTTCTCAGGGCTCAGAGGATTACTTTTAAAGGTATAAATGAATGTCACTCTTTGAACCCCAGAACACAGCTCACCCACTATGAATCATTGAGCTAATCCAGGTAGGACTTTATATGGGGAGGCTGTATTATTTGTCCTGGGCCCAAGGAAGAAAGCAAAGATATATTTAAAGCAGGGTGCTTTCAGAGCACATTAACACAGTGAGTTATATGGGGAATGCAAATGAAAACAGTGAAAGTGACCTTGAGTTCTGCAGTTCAAACCAGCTCCCTTGTTAGCTAATAGCCAAGCTGATTGAAAACATCAACAGCAGAGTTTACAGATGTTCTGTTTATTAAACAGAAAACATTAACAACTTGGTTGTACATTAAAACACACGATGATATAAAAATAAGCAGAGGGCAAAGGACGAAAGTTTAGTGAATTTTCCCTGAGCATTTTTTTTGAATGTGCCATTTCAGCCCAACCATATTTTCAAATATAAGTCAAGGAAGGAATTCCATAGACTTTTTTCAGCACCATTCTCATCCCTACAAGGTTAGAACTCCAGGGGACACTTTCATTTTACAGGAAAAGAAAGGGAAAACCAAGGCATTCAAATGTCTCGCCCGAGATTGTTTTGGAGATGAATCTAGAATGCAGATTCCTGTCCAGGCCCAAACCACGTGTCTTAAACTCTTTAAAGCCTTGGACTGGGTGCAGAGATAATGACAGAACACCACAGCAAGTTCACCTCGGAGTTACTGTAAGCCTGCCATGCTAATTAAATTCTGACTTCTGTCAAATACGGCTTCCAGTCAAAGTCTCTACCGCTTGTAGGACAGAAGCGATGTCTAATCATGTGTCTAAAAAGCTTCACACACTACCTGAAATTGTCCACAGCTGCAGGGTCAAGTCTGCCTCTCCCCACCCCATCCCTTTACTCAGACCTCTACATTTGATGTAGGGACAGGAGACAGGAGCCCTCCCCTATCTCAGGTAAAGCCCCCTGACACATGGTGGTCAGCTTAGGCAAGGTGCGCAGCCTCTAGCCTGGCAGACGCAAAGTTGGTTAAAACTGATCTCAGCCTTGTAGGAGAGCCCATTCTGTTCCTTCCCCTTTCTGTGACAAACCAGGGTGCCTGGAGGTACAACCAAGTTGCCATCATTGGTAGAGAGGTAAAAACCCTGTCTTGTCCTTCACAGTTCCAATGAAGGCATCCAAGAGATTCAGCAGTACTGACAACATCTTGCGGGATTCATCATTTGACCTAGAATAGGTCAGAAGAGAGATCAGAGTTTGAGCCCACTTTCCAGCTCTACAAAATCCATGGCTGGCACTGAGTCCAGGGGAAAGTTCAAAAACTTGACCAGCATCTCCCTAAAAAAGGTGAACTGCAGAAACCGACTTCCATATGCTATTATCTAGAAGGGGGCAGTCTGCAGAGCAACACACATGCGTGTTCTGGAATGGGTTTACATAGGGTGTATGCCTTGCACATAAGCCTGGACATTGAGAATCCAAATGTGTCAGACATGTGGACGCCCGAGGAGAGTTTCTAGGAAAATGAGGACACCAGCGAGGCTCAAGGCCAGTCAGGCCCATGAGCTTGGTTCACTTCAGTTTCAAGCCATTGTGGTTTTGTGGTCACAGACAAAAGGCATTTCATTCCCAGGGCCTTTCAGGAAGGAAATTTTATAGCATCCCATATAGGTGCTACTGGTTAATAATCTTCCATAGCCAAAAGAGATGGAAAAACTAGGAAGAGATCCACCCACAGACCCAGGTAACTGCCCAGATTTCTAATAGGTAGAAACAAGGACCAAGAGACTAGGGTTTTTACTCCCAGTTCTGTTTCTAAGAAGCTACCTGAGCTTAGGCAAGTCCCCAAGACTGCCGGACTGTTCTCCATGAAATAATGGTAGGGGTATTACTTTCCCTATTCACCCAAAGACTAGTGTGAGACTCATAAGAAACCTTAGTAAGAATCCTGAAAAGTTCCCTATGAGCAAGAGAAAGACAGTGCAGTTCACAATGGACTATGGTCCCCTCTCTCCTCAAGGTGAGGTCATGGCTCCAGCTGGCTCCCAGAGGGGGCCGAGTTATCATCCAGTTCTCCGGAGCCTGCCAGCTCCCAGGGGCTCAGAGATCAAGGTACACTAAGCAGTTGCTGAGCCAGAAAGAGTGACTGCAGAAGGCACATCTCCTTCACGGAAGCCCCAGGGCAGAAGTCCTCTGTCTAAGCTGGTCATGAATCCAGGAGCAGGCATGTACTTCCTTTAATTAAAAAGGTAAAAATCTTACTCTGACCTGAATACCTTAATATATTTCAAAGAGGACCCTGCTGCTTTCCTTGTGTACCTGCTGATTCAGCCTCCAGGTTTACACATAGATCAGATGGGTCAGATTTTGGAAACAGAAGTGTGGTTCATGCAGAAACCAGGTCAACAATTAGCAGCTGCAGCCATTCATTAAGAGCTTCACCAAGCCTGTGTTCAGCTGTATAATGAGATTGAGTAAAACCTGGACTTAATCAGACTCACTCTACCCTGCTACAGGGAGCGAATTCACAGCCCTGAGTACACCCCCCACCTCCTCCCCATGACCATTTATTCATTCTGTTGCTGCCCTCATACTGGAGCCTGAGCAATGGAATCAGGAGCTAGGTCCTGAGCAAGCTCCCCCTTCCAAAGCACTACTTTGAATTGCTTGATTAGCAAGAGGCCAAAAGAAATCAGAGAGGATGCGTTCTTTTTGCAAAGGGTGAAGGAACCATGCTTGCACTGGCTCTAGCTGCTGAGGGCAGCACAAGGAGAACATGAGTCAGGGACGATGAGTCCTGCCCAGCGGCAGCCACGCATTCCTGCAAGGCATGTGCAGAGGTGACAGGCAAGCAATGCACATGCTCACAATGGCCAAGGCATTGGCCAGAAAGCCACAGCTGACGCACAACCCGATGACCAGGAGGAAGTCAGAAGACTCTTTCTGCTTAGATCACAGGCATCCTGCACACTCCCTCCTCTTACGCAGGTCCATGAGGACAGAGAGGTTCTCCCAGGTAGAGAGCGCCCCCGTGTAGAATTAAGAAAAGGAAGAGACTAGATACAGATACACAATATATTGTGCTGATAATACATATGTGTGTATACACAATTAAGAAAAATAGGATTATATGAATACATATACACCGTATTAAGTTTTATATATGGTATATAAAATGCAGAAAATTGAGGACTATCTATCTACTCCCAAAGAAGCTGATACCCACACAATGACATTCTGCAATGAAGCAAGAGCCTTGGCCTTCTGATTTCCTTTGTCCCTCCACACCTCAGAACCACAATTGAATTATGTTCTTAATCCACATCAGCACTTCCAAACAGAATTTCAGGGAGGTGCAGGGGTATTGGAGTTCACTATGCTGATGAGACCCTAAAAGCCTGGACTGATTTCTGAGAATAAGCCCTGAGCAGCTGAAGGAAGATGAGAGGATTCAGCAAATGAGGAAGATAATAGTAACTGGCCATCAACGGCAGTTCCAATGGAAAGAGACCTCATCGGAAAGTCCGATGAGAAGCGCAGCCTGACAGAGACAGCGTCCGCCAAAGAGATCTAATTAGGGTGCAAAGAGACTCTGCAAAACACCCAAAATAGAGTAAGAATTTTCATTGAAAAACTAATATTTGAACTTAGTGATTTAAAGAATTTATAAAAGTGAGTGGTCACAATCTAGAACCAACTAGACTATGGGAGGCCTGGGGGAAATACATTGTCACACAGAGGACGGGACAAAGGGGAAAAGCATGAGGGCAGATCCAGAAACCTTCATGTGGAGAAGAGATGGTCTAGAAGGGAAAACAGGAACAGCGAGGGGAGTTAATGATTAAATAAGTAGAAGAGAAAAACACGTCCTGTCTGAAGAAAGACTTGAGTCAGCAGATGGAAAGGCCTCCCTGAGCTGCACAGCATGCGTGGAAAAGGGACACAGCTCTAGTGAAATCCCCATATGCCAGGAATTAAAGGTGGGGAACGCACATTGTCTCTCAAGGTATCGTCCATGAACTTGCTGCGCCAGAACAAGAAACTTGTTAAAAATTAGATTCCAGACCTTCTGCATCTCATCCTGGGGGTGTTTGGGGAAGTACATACTACAATTCATGGGGAGGAGCCGCAGGTGGAGGGCATTGAAGTTGCAGGAAGGGTCCTCATCGAATGACAGGAAGGCTGTCCTATCCAGCAGTCCGGATGCTCTTCCTCAGTGAAGTGTGGCAAATTCTCACCCAAGTGTACAAACTTGCACACAAAGACAATGTCCCAAGTGGTGCTGGCCTTTTTGGGGACACCAGCTGGAAATGACATCAGCAACTTCGTAGCTTTTAAAAAACTACTCACAAGAGGTTATAACTTGACTTTGATCTTCGTAAAGTGAAAGGAAACATACAGAACTGAATTATCTAAAGAAATCACTTTCCATGTTATTTATTTTTTTTTAAGATTTATTTATTTATGCACACAAGAACCAGGGTACAGTCCAGATGTGGGGGGGGGTGAAAGGATTCACCAGAGACAGAGTGGGGAACAGAACAGGCGGATCAACTGAAACACACTGCTGAGGGGAGCAGTGGGTGAGTCAGGAGAGGTCTGCTGCTCCATGTGGGCCAGCTCCCTGGCTGGGGATCGAACTCATGTTGCAGAGGCTGTGGATTGCTTCACAGTTCTGTGCTCAACCCCCTGAGCCACCAGGGAGGCCCCTATTTAATGGACATTCCTACAAAACACAAAGCCCAGCATCTACTAGGCAACGAAAGGCCAGTTCTCAAACTGGCAAGGACACATTTCTCTAGGGAGAGGTTTGATTGAGGGAAATTTTCATCTCCAGGGCATGTCACAGATCTTCTCCTTCCAAAGATCATCTGGGTTTAGGAAATAACTTCTTTTTTTTTTTTTTTAAACATTTGTGAGATAGAATTTAAGACAAAAATGCACCTATTTGAAAAGTACCTTTGCTGAGTGTATCCATCTGTGCGATACAACGTAAACTTGGCCCCTTTGCTCCAGCTCTCACTGTAGATTACTTTGTATTTTCTTCATATAAATGAAATCATGGTGCATCAGTTTCCGAGGGATGCAGTAGCAAATGATGACAAACTAGACGGCTTGAAACAATTGAAATTTATTCTCTCACAGTCCTGGAGACCAGAAATCCAAAATCAAGCTGTCTGCAGGACCTGGCTCCCTCGAAGGTTCTAGGGAGAGCACATCCCAGCCTCTCACAGCTTTGGGGACTCCAGGTGTTGCTCCACCTGTAGCAGCTGAACTTCAATCCTGCATTGGGCCTCCTCCCCTGTGTGCTGTCCTTTCTCTCACAGGACATCAGTCTTTCGATTTAGGGCCCACCTTAAATCCAGGATAGAGACACCTTGAGATCCTTAACTTAAATACATCTGCAAGACCCGATTGCCTAACAAGGTCACTGTCACCAAGGGAGTAAAAAGGCAGCTCTCCTTTCTTCTCATACTATTACTATGAGACTTCTGGCTCAGCAATTCCCATGACAACAGAGGGGGGTCCTATAATTTAACTCAATTCTCTCACCCTCTGCTTGGAGTAAAGTCAGATTCTTCAGGTTAAGGGTTCAATCCCTACAAGACAATCCCCCCAACCCCCCACTTCACACACCAGGTGAAGAGCCAGGTTGTCACTGGTGAGCTACAGATCAGCACTTCCCACAACTCCCTCTTCAGTTCCACTGATGTGCCAGTGAGGGCCAGAGAACTCAGAAACACAGTTCACTGACCACCAGTGTATCGTAATAGGACATGGTAAAGGATATAGATGAACATCTGGATGGAAGAGACGTGTGAGACTCTGCTCCCCCAGTGTGCTCACCCACCGAACAGCTCTCTCCACTCCTGCTTTGGGGATTTTTATGAAGGCTTCGTCACGTGGGCTTGATGGGTCATTAAATCCCTTTCCAAGCCCTCTCTCCTCTGGCCCTCTCTGCGGAGAGAATTCCAAGCTTCTTAGCCTGTCTTGGTCTTTCTAGTGAAGAAGCTCCATCCAAGAGCCCACCTAGGGTCCCGGCATTAGAACAAAGCACTGCTATCACCCAGGAACTCCATGTCAGGAACAGGGCCCAACACCAAACACTGAAATGGAATATGTTTCCTCTGGCCTTATTATATAGGAAATTACAAGGCTTTTAGGAGTTTGGTCCAGAAAACCAGGGCAGAGAGCAACATCTATACGCTCTTTTACTGTCTCACAGTCTGCTCAGGAAGCAGAGGTTAGGACTTGGACGTGGCCTTGCTTGGATATAGCACTACCTAATGATCTCTCATCTGTGGAGAGACGTTTGGATCATTTTCTTTTTTTGCTATTACATATAAAACTGCTATGATCATTGGGGCAAGCCTTTATGTATACATATGTATTCGTTTCTTTGGAGGTAAATATGCTTTAAGTGTTTACTCTAACTTATACTTTATGCTTTAAGTGTGTATATACATGCTTTAAGTGTGTATACAAATATGTTTTAAGTGTGTACCTTAACTTATACAACTTATAAAACTGGAAAGGGGTTTCCCAAAGTGAGGGCACTAATTTACCTTTTCATCAACAGGGTATGAGAATTCTATTTGTGCCACATCCTCACCAGAACTTGGTGTTCATAATGTTAGTTGTTTTAAATTTAAACCAGCCCAGTGGGTGTGCAGTGGTATCTCATTGTGGTTTTTATTTGCGTTTCCCTGATGACTAATGATGATGAATATCTTTTAATGAGCTTATTGACTATTCACATATTTTCTTTGTGAAGTGCCTGTTTAAATCTTTTGCCCATTTTTAATCAGGTTGTTTGTCTTCTTATTATTGTAACCATCAATTTTTGAAAGTGTTTTTTTCTCACAAGTATGAACAAAACTCTTTTTAATTTAGAGCTTAGAAGGCTCTGCCAAATGTTTAACAACTCAGGAGAGACATTTTCCAAACCAGGACAGAAATTCCATCTCTAAGAGCCAGCAGCACTGGTGATATAGGGAAGAAGAAAGGTACCCATGGGGGAGCAGAGAGCTGGTCTGCAGCACACCGAACAAGCCACGGCCACCCTAGGACCTCATTTCTTCATTTATAAAATAAAGAACTTAGCGCTAAAGTAACCAAGCACCTATCAGGCTCCATGCAAGTAGGTCCTTCTGATAAATGGTTAAAAGAGGCACAAAGATCCTTTACGACAGGCCATATTTGAATGCTCAGCTTTTAAAAATTCAGTGGTACTCCTGAAGTATGAAAAAAAAAAATTAAATTCGAGAAAGATGAAAGTGCTGTGTGTGCAGAACGGCAAATGTCAACATGTCCAGACACCCCTGGTTGGTTATTTGCTAATGAATAGGCTCGGTATCAGTCAAAGATCAGCCCAACATTGTGCGTCTCTGCAGCCCTGTGATTACAGTGCCCGATAGTGCTGGCTGCCAAGTCACGTTATGCACAATCACCCAAATAACAGCAGCCGCATCTTTCAAGATGAGAATAGATGAATACAGACAATGCATGAAGACGCACATTCAATATTTCTATTTGTAGAGAATCTTTCCTGCAGCCATATTTCTGAATTCTTTCAATACTACTGTCAACATTTAAAACATTTTATTAAAATATTGTCCTTCTAAAGGGAAAATGATTTGCCATGCATGTGAACTCATCTATTCCTGGAAGGGTAATCCTATCCCACACCTCCTATAGCCATAAATGAATTGTTTATCCCAAGATGGTGATAAGTGTGTTTAAGATAGGCTCGCTCTCAGTTGCTCTTTGTCACAAAGGGCACAGCTGCAACTGATAACTCTGTCAGGACAGGGTTATATTTGTGGCCACTGGGTAATGGTTACATGTGAAGCAACTGCGTGATGATTGCGTCCATATTCTGATATCAAGTCAGAATTAAACTACTGTAGGCTAAAGGCCATTTGGCCAAACATCCATGCATTTCATTAGGGCCAGGGCCTAGTCATTAGGACTTGCCAACAGAAACTAGAGCATGAGACAGGAGATGATGTAGACAGTTTTAAACACACTGTCCTTGATAAGCACACCAGGAACTTGACCTTCTACTATAAGGCAGTAAGAACCAACACAACTTCCTCCTGGTTGAATGCTCAGGCCATGAATTGGGAACCTCTAATTTTGAGTTGAAATGAGCCCTTGTCTCATTTTTAGGTTTGAAGGGCAAGTGCCAGAAAGGGTCAACACCATATGGACCTATCATTACAAAAATGAAGTGTCAAATTTTGGGGCTTTAGAGGTAAAATTCCAAAAGCCCATGCGAAGCAAAGTTTCTCCAAGAAAATCTTAGGGGCAGTGTCTACTTCAGGCTTGTTTTTCCAGTCAGTTTATGTCTCAGGTACTGTTTCCTTCATTTCTGCTGTCTCTGTCACCACAATCCTCACTTTCCCCAATATCTCATGAAAATGTTCAAACATACAATATAGTTGAAAGAATCTTAGTGTCTATTCACGTACACCTAGGTTATGTCATTAATATTTTACTCTAATTGCTTTAACACATTACATATCTGTTCATCCATTTATTCATCCATCCATTTCTCTTGCATTACTCTTTATATATGCATATGTATGCATATACATATATGTACATATAAACATATATATATATTACATCATTGTTCATTTTTCTACAATGTGTGCTTATACGCTTTCTCCTTTCAGGTATATCCCCGTAAAATTCCCACCACCAAGTCATGCGTGGACCATCACCATAGTCCCTTGTGCTCTTCTCTCTTTCATTATTCTTATTTTAAAATATATTTCAAAGTGAATTTCAGAAATCAGCCATAATCCTCATTTTTAACTCATCTTTTTAATCTTCCCTTTTTTTGGTCAGTTTTCACTGATGATTTTTTTCCATCTATAAATACTTTTTAAAGGGATTTTACACAGAATTCCAGAGGTAGAAAGCTCTGTCCAAACCAACCCAGAGAATCTCCAATTCTCAGTAGGTATTTCTTATCTTACACTTTCTCCTCTTGTCCAACAGAGTTAGGTTTTCCTCAAGATTGACAAGAAATTCATTATATTGTACAAAAACTATGCCCCTTCAAAAGAAAAATAACTACCCTTATTTCTTCTCCATATTAAAGATCTACTTCTATATCTTAGAACATTCTTTGTCAAACAATTTCATTCTGTTTCTCTTTATATAGTTTTTCCCCCACTTTTAGATCTTCTTATATCACTTCATTGCCAGCATCCATCTTGACAAAGAGCATTAGAAAACCTTTCAAAGTCTATTTAGACATGGTAGACTGAAAAATATGTGCCATATCTCTTTCTGAAACACCATCAATATCTAAGAAAAGAAATAAAAAACAATAGTCAGAAGGCCAAAAAAGCAGGAGAAGGATGAAAGTGAATACTATATGTCACCAAATTTGGGAAGA